CCTTAGCCACTTGAGCCACAGGCGCCGAGCCACTATAGCCATTCTTAAACTAAACAGTGGTGCCACTCTTTAGGAACAGGGTTGTTAAACTATGGCCAGCAAGCCAAATCCAAAAGTTAAAAAATAGAGTTTTATTAGAACATAGGTGATGCCACGGCACGCTACCCAGGGTGACAAGCTTGAGGCTCTGTCTCAAAAAAAAAAAAAAAAAGAAAGAAAGAAAGAAAGAACATAGGCACACTCATTTGTTTACTTATCTATGGCTGCCTTCACATTATAAGAGCTGAGCAGTTGTGACACAGACGCAGGGCCTGTGAAGTCCAAATATTTACTACCTGGCCCTCCACAGAGTAAATCCGATGACTCTTTTTAGAGACTGCTTCCCCTCCTTCACCTATATAAGATTCTTCATACTGCTTCTCAGGACTTACTTCCCAACTTGTTCTCCCTCACTCCCTTTGCTCCAATTACACAGAACTACTTGTAGTTTCACCTAATAAATCATAATCTTGCTTGACTCAGAAAAGATGTATTAGCAACTGTCTCTGCTTTGAATGTCATCCTCTCCTTGCCAATTACTACAAATGGTCCTTAAAACACCAGTTCAATCACCATATCAGGCATGCCAGTGTTGCGTGACGCCCGCCCCTCTACTGAATAGCTCGCTTTTGTACACCTACTGTAATCTTAAGGCAGCCTACCCTCCCTTACTGTAACAGTTCTTTAACGGCAGAAATCTTTGTCTTTGTCTTTGGTTTTACTCGTATCCCTTAACCAGTGATGGAACACTCTGAGCGCTTGATGCTTGTCGGTTCAATTCCTGAATAAATTCTTGCAGGGCATCAAGTGGTTTAGGCGGCTCTAGAGATATTTAGGCTGGAAATGTATACCTCATAGCGAGAGCTTGAAGTCATACACACAGACACGTGGATTACAGGGAGAAGACAGAACAACCTACTCAAATACCACCTGTTCTAGAAAGTTATATATGAGCCAGTTGGCGACCCCTCCTCCCTATTCCTAGCTTCTCTTGCATAGCTCACCATCTCCGACTGTTGCTGAACTGTGACAGGTTTTGGACTATATCCTCGCCTTTTACATCACGCTGGGCTCGTAGAAAGTCCTTGCATCTATCAGGAATGACTTTCCCCGCCTCCGCTCGGACCTCCCACCTCGGAGGACTCCCTGGCCCCGGGGAGAGGAGCCGCAAGGTCCAGGTGAAGGGCCCCTCTCCCACCCCGCAGGGAGCCCCGGGCCGAGCGGCGCCGCTCGGCCTCTCCGCCCTTGAGTTCCCTCAGCTCCCCTCGTCCGCCAGTGGCCCTTCTCTCTTCTTCCTCATTCCCACCCCGACGGCTCTCACCTCAGTCCCAGACTCGGCCCTATGGAAGTCACTACTCATCGCCCCGAAGGCTCGAAGGACGACAAACTCAATCTTCCCGCCACCGACGCCATTTACTGACTGCACCAATCCCGCAGCCAGTCAGACCCGCCAGCTCGTGCGCGTGCGCATTGCGCAGGGCCTGGAAGGCGACGAGCATGCGCGGTGAGGTGCGAGCCCCGCCTGCGTGACGTCAGACTCCAGCGCCCTCCACTGCTCTCTGGTCGGTCCGTCTCCTTGGAGACCGGCGGAGACTGTTGGTGCTTTTATTTACTTTTTTGTCATAAATTTAGATTCGTTATTATTAAGTTTAAACAAACAAACTAGCAGTGTGTACTTATTTGTTTAACTATTAAGATACATTTACTGAGCAAGCAGGCTTTTTTGTCCTTTGTTGGATTAAAAGCCTCTGGTTGTGTTTAGGATTCATGGTTAATTCTGGAAAAATAAAGAAAAAAATTGCAAAAATATAAAAGATTTTTTAAAAAGTATGCCAAGTCTGTGGATTTGTCAGGTTCCTTTTGGAGTCGAAGAGTTTGCTATCAAGTGTCCATTAAAAAATAGTACACTATATATGTGTACTGTATATATGTGTGTACATATGACATGTATATGGGAGATAGATATATAGAAAGTAGGAAAGTTACATTCTGGGATACTACAGAGAATAGGAAACATACCCAAATGGACTTTATATTAATCATTTACTGGAATGTGTTTTTAAGACTCACTTTCCAACAGCTGTATCTGTTGTTTACTTGAGCAAAACTGTGAAGTTGGCACTCTGAATTCTCTTAACGCTCTTGCAGCTGTTTAATTAAGAAATAATTAAAATAGTTAACATGGTACTTAGTATGTACCCGGCACTGTCCTAATTGCCTTATATTTTATAACTCACTTAATCCTCACAGTAAAATGAAGTAGGTGCTGTTGTCACCATTTTACAGTTGAAGAAATGGGGGCCCAATTTTGACCCAAGATACTTGTTGACCAGATTTTAGTGAATTGGTATGTTAAGGGGAAATAGAAAGTGAGAACCCTGTGTACAGACAATTCCTTAGAGAATGAATTGAAGGAAAGAAATAACGTAATAGCTAGGAAAAAATACATAGGATCAAAGGAGTGGTGGTTTGGGTTTTTAAAATTTAATTTAATTTTATTTTATTGAGACAGAGTCTCACTTTGTCACCCTTGGTAGAGCGCCATCATGTCATAGCTTATAGCAACTTCAAACTCTTGGGGTAAAGCAATTCTCTTGCCTCAGCCTCCCCAGTAGCTGGGACTACAGGCACCCACCATAACGCCCAGCAATTTTTTGTTGCAGTTTGGCTGAGGCTGGGTTTGAACCTGCCACCCTTGGTAAATGGGGCCAGTGCCCTACCCACTGAGCCACAGGTGCTGCATAGGTTTGGGTTTTTTAAGAAGGCAAAGACTGGGATGTATTTAATTGCTGATAGTAAAGCTTTTAAGGACTTAATGATTAAATTCATAATCTGAGAAAGGATATTTGATGGGATCAGGACCTGAAAGGGGAAATATAGAAATCAGCTTTAGGTAGGAAAGGGCATCTCTTCCACCACTACCAGAAACAAGGAGTCAAAGATGGGTGCAGATGTAGGTAAGTTTTGGGGGTGAGGAGTTCAAAGAATTTGAACTAGTTCTAGTCTAGTCTACTGTATTTTTTCTTTAAAGTAGAAAGCAGGAGTTATGTCCCATGTCTAAAGTTAAATTACTTTTGTGAAAATTAAGATGCACAACCAAGTCAAGCACCTAAATGAATGTTAACCTGTTTATGGGCTCTGCTAAAAACCTTTCCCAGAAAACCATTCTTGGTCATTCTAGAATACAGAGGGTAAGGGATGGAAGAACTAAATTATCACACTAATATAGAATATGGTAGTAATTTTTTTTTTTTTTTGCAGTTTTTGGCCAGGGCCGGGCTTGAACCCACCATCCCTGGTGTGTGGGGCTAGCTCCCTACTCCTTGAGCCACAGGCACCTCCCCGTAGTAATTATTTGAACTAGAAAAATTTTCCTGCAACACTTACTGTCTATAAGCACATTTAATACTCAGCACATGTTAGGACTATTCTTTCGTTACATAGTGCTTTCCTCCCCAATTCAGTTGCAATTTTCTTGAATTCCAAAGCCAGTTTTCTGAACTCATCATGGATTTTGATGTCAGATACACCTTTTTAACCTGGTTCTGTCACTAACTGACAAGACATGTTATTTAACCACTCTGAAACATGCCCCACTTCCAAATCTTGGAGTAGAGATGTTGTCTTTCAAAGTTTTAGGCTCTGCGGAAAGCTGTTGATAACAGTAAATGAAAACAAAATCTGAATGGTCAGCAAGAGAGGTAGGAGGGGTGCTGCGGACACAATCTGTAATTTTTTTTTTTTTTTTTTTGAGACAGAGCCTCAATCTGTCCCCCTGGGCAGAGTTCCGTGGCACAGCAACCTCCAATTCCTGGGCTCAAGCGAGTCTCCTGCCTCCGCCTCCCAAGTAGCTGGGACCACAGGTGCCCGCCACAACGCCCGGCTATTTTTTGGTTGCAGCCATCGTTGTTTGGCGGGTCTGGGCTGGGGATTCGAACCCACCACCTTAGGTGTACGTGGCTGGCGCCTTAGCCGGTTGAGCTATAGGCGCCGAGCCCACAATCTTATCTTCAATACACCCTCTATGATGAGGACACATACGTACAGAACCATGTATGTGGGTTAACCTCCCTCTTTCCATACACTTCTATACAAAATAATATTTTTTTGAGACAGAGTTTCACTACGTCACCCTCGGTAGAGTACCGTAGTGTCACAGCTCATAGCAACCTCAAACTCTTGGGTTTAAACGATTCTCTTGCCTCAGCCTCCTGTCGCTAGGACTACAGGCACCAACCACAACATCCGGCTATTTTTTTGTTGCAGTTGTCATTGTTGTTCAGCTGGCCTGGGCTGAGCTTGAACCCGCCAGCCTTGGTGCATGTGGCTGGCGCCATGAACACTGTGCTGTGGGCGCTGAGCCTATACAAAATAATTTTTTTCTCACATGCAGTATATCAGTATTTGAGAAAGAAGATTTTACAATTGAATCTCTGCTCTAGGCTAAATGAGTTTCACCTTGTTTAATCCATTCTGTGCACACCTATTTCTGTGAGACATCCTCCCCAACATGATTTCAAAATTCCTTCAGTTTTAATGCTCTAGAAACATCACTTCTTGTTTAAAAGAATGTTTGAGGCCAGGCACAGTGGTTCATGCCTGTAGTCCTAGCACTTTGAAAGGCCCAGGCAGGAGGACAGCTTGACGTCAGGAGCTCAAGACCAGCCCGAGTAACAGTGAGACCTTTTCTCTACCGAAAACAGACAAAAATTATCCAGATGTGGTGGTGCATGCTTATAGTCCTAGCTACTCAGGAGACAGAGGCAAGAGGATCAATGAAGCCCAGAGGTTTGAGATTGCAGTGAGCTATGATCACACCACCACACTTTTACCTGAGGTGATGAAGGGAGATTCTGTCTCAAAAAAAAAAACAAAAAAAAAAAAAACAAAACTTTGAGGCACTCTTTTAAATTGCTGGCAGAAATGTAAACATACAATCTTTTTGGAGGGAAATTTGGCAATATCTAACAAAACAACACATTTATTAACTTTTTGATTCAGCAATCCTACTTTAGGACTTTACCTTGAAGTCACACTTCTGACTCTGCAAAAGCATACATGCATCAAGTCATATTGCAGCATTGTTTGTAATTGTAAAATCGTGGAAATGGCCTAAATGCTCACATACAGGAGAGTGAGTCAAAAAACTACCCCACTGCAATAAAATGGAGCAGCATGCGGCTATAACAAAGAATGAAGATGATCTTGCATGCATTTACATGGAGGGATTTCCAGAATATAGTTAACTGGAAAAAGCAAAGTGAAAAGGAGTATCCGAGGTTTATTGGCTTTCATGTAACAAGGCAGGGGGCATAAGAAGATACACACACGTGTTTCTGTTTATTTGTGGGGAAAAACACAGAGAGAATAACTTAAAAACAAATGAGATTGTTTACAGTAGATAGAAATTTGTTGGAAAGAATGGGGGATGAAAATAGGGTAAAACGGATGACTAAGAGACATTTCTCTAAGTGTGACTTTTTTTGGATAGTTCTGCCTTTTAGAACCAGGTTAACGTTTCACATCCTAAAAACAAAATCAGCAGACAGGAGACAGGCAGAAACAGAAACAAAGCAATTGCCACAACCTGGAAAGGCGGGGGGAGGGAACTAACACAGTAACTTTGGAACACAGTGTTTTGCTCTATTTTCAAAAACCAAAAAGACAAAGAGACTGCCAACAAATACACCTCAGTAGGCAGATTTGTTTACTCACAGTAGTATGTGTTAGCAAGTCTGTAACTACTTTTTTCTTTTAATATACTACAATTGAGCAAATAGGTAAATATTTTGTAGATAATGAAAACCAGATTTCTTACTATAAGAAAAAGGAACTACAAGTAAAGAAAGAGAAAGGGTAGAATGAACCAACCCTACCTTGCTGGATTATAATTTGAGGTATCCCAGCTATTCAGGAGGCTGAGATGGGAGAACCAATTGAGCCCAGGAGTGTGGGGCTGCAGTGAACTGATTGGGCCACTGTACTCTAACCCAGAGATAGAGTGAGACCCTGTCTCTGGGGGGAAAACAAGAGAGAGAGAGAGAGAGAGAGAGAGAGACAAGAAAAGGAAAAGAATAAAATCTCTATTTGGCAATACCACAGTAATTCTTTGGAAGAGGAGACGACATCAAGAATCATCAACTGACACTAAAATTAGTGGGTGTGGGTAAAAGTATGATTAGAGAGAATACAGTCTAAAGTAGCTCCTCACAAAATACTTAATTACCGAGAAAAGAAGAGATTTACCCTGGAGAAAACTGCTTAACATCATTTTAACCAAGTGATCAAAGTTAACATAAGCAGTAATGGGAAAAATAGATACCATGTACCTCCTAATATATGATAGCAACCATTTACTGAAGGTCAACTGTATTTCAGAATGCCTGGTGTTCTCCACATATGATTTCTAACCTTTC